CTGAAAGAGCAAAACAAGTCATCTTGAACGCCTTTCTGGGAAAGTAATCATAGCTTTCTTCTTCTTCTTTTGTTTTTTTGGTTGAAGGAATCTAAAGAAATTAAATTCTACAATGATGAGAAATGATATTTTATGATCCAAAACACGCTTCTTTTTTGGCTTGATTCTTAGTTGAGCTGCAATTGGTGAATGTAGGAAAGCCGATATGATATTGCAGAGTTGTGAAAATGTATGGTCAATCATTAGCTAATAAATGCTGCCGAGGTACTTGTGTTGGTTGTGCAAGCATTTAATCTATTACACCTCCCAACCTCCTTAATTTATTTTCTCGTAACCTCAATCTTTGGAATAGCAACATGACCTCCAAGATTAGAAGTAGCCTTTTCGCCTGGGATTATCAATTTGTCATTCCACAAATCCTAACATGAACTTAAAAACAGCCGCATTTGTAATTAAATAATTGATTGGGCAGACAAAAAGAATGTTCAAGACGTGTAAACCCTAATTAACATCGTAAATACGCAATAGATTCTCGAAGAAAACCGTGTTAAATCAAATCAAAGCCTCTACTAACCCAATGTAATCTCACATCATGAAACAGGTTCACATAGCATTTAACAACAGAAAAAAGAAGGGTGCAAATACTGCATTCTTCTTTTCTTTCCCTCACTGCCTTTCGGGGTTTATTTAGACAGGTATATCACAATTCACAATCCCCATGCAGGTTTATTTAGGTAGACACATCACAGTACTCCTCATGCTGATCCGGTAAGATGAGATAGCTTTCCGAACCATATCAAAAGGAAATAAAGGTACATTCAAGGCCCTAATTCGTTGAGGGAGGACACAGAAATCACAACATCTGAAACAAAAAACAGCATGCAAGACGCACATATATGAAGCACACCATTAATTTTTTTTTTTTTTAAATCTCATGCAGACACCTTGGTGCTATCATACTTGATCTTGACTCCAGAGATGGTAACAGTGCTACTCTTGGGGACCAAAGTAACCAAGACGCTCTCAAACTCATCAGCTCCCAATTCCTGCAAAACTTCAGATATAGCAAAAGTCTTAGTAGTAGTAGAAATCATGGAATGTCCATGAGGCACGTTGATGAAGCTCCCCACAAGCTCAGTCTTCTCCGGCCCGCTCTCGTCCGGAGTATCTTCATTGATGTACACATCAAACTTGACAAACTCTCCAATATTGTACTGGATCCCAGATATCTCCAGAACTTCCTCTGCCCTCTGCTTCTCCTTCTTGGTCCTCTTCTTCTTTGGCCTTTTCACCAGAACAGTTATAGTTTTCTCCAGGGTCGTTGGAAACACTTGACTTGGAGTAGGAGCTGTTGGTAATTCGATAGCCGTCCTACGCGGGCTTGGCTTACTATTCAGCCAGGGGATATCCACAGTTTGATAAGTGTATCCAAGAACTGAGGTGTCCAAACAGTCTTTCACGTAAACCTTTACAGGCTTTGCCTGTTCGTTGTAGAAATAGAAACTGGAGTTTAACCAGTCTGAATCAGTGAAGTTCTGGCCTCCTAAAGAGTTCCAAAGAGACCACATTCTATCAACGTTGGCATGATGACAATAAAAGACTGGGTCTCTTCCCGCTGAGTAGAAGGAGCCCATGTCCTCGCCATGAGATTCATTAGGGTCGCCAGTCCAACGGTGCACATTCGAATGAGGACTAGTTTCAATTGAACCGGCTCCTGGATCAGATGTTTCACCAGCACGAAACGTTTTTCCGAAGAAACTCAATGGAGTTGTGGACTGAGTAACCATTTGCTTGTACATGAGGTAGAGATTGTTTTTTATCACTGTTATGGTACTATCCGTTGAATCAGTGCCTTCATAGGACAGATCAAGAACTGTACTTAGGTGAGAGGGATTGCGTAAGCTATCATAGAGTGGGGATGAGGAGTCATTGAAAATGGTTGGCAGAAACATCCCAGGTGGATTATCCCAGTTCCAAAAGGGAAGTGCAAAAGTATCGTCATCGACCATGTTTTGGCATATCTTCTCGAAGAAATACAAGTACCATCTGTGAAAGGGAAAGAAGAGCCATGAGTTGTGAACATCCAATAGAAGTTGAGAATCTGCATAGCCATCTTGATAGTATCCACCGTTACAATATGCACAATGCACATTTGCTTGTGCAGTGAAACTACGTGGATCATCCGAACTTAGATTCCTCATTTTCTCTATGGCCGTCTTGTACTTTTTCAAATAAGTCGAGTCGACTAGTTGCGCCGCAGGTCTAGTGGCGATGACAGAAGGAGCAGTAGGAACAAAATCAGTGATATCCGCGGCCGTGGCCGAGGGTGGACAACAGTCGATTTCTTTGCTGTCGGGGTCAGTGGCATCGTGACAGGCTGTGAATGTTGGAGATAGTGGTGCTGCAAAGGCTGATGGATTGCCACCAAAAGTGGAGGCACCATAGAGCCCTCCTCCAATGCCAAGTAGCACATTTCTTCTATCAAGCTTCAGTAAAGAAGTTTCTCCATTTTTGGAGCCTGCAGTGTCATGATCACTGGAGTTTTGGTCACCTTTTGTGGAATTGCATGTAAATTTTGGGCCTGTTTTGCGATTTGGGTGAGCGGGTTTTGCAAGTGAGATGAAATGTGCTATAGAGGAGGAATAGGCAAGGTTGGAGGAGAGAGTTGGCATGGTAAGAGAAGCCATGACCTAGATATTGAGAAAGTTATGCCGTGTGTATTGTGCATGCTGTGCTGCCTCAACCTATGCTTTATATAGCGGACTTGAGCTTGGTAGCTTGATCAGATTAAGGTAAAAACCTATCATATCTAACTGGTTGATTGACGAAAACAAGCTTTAAGGTTTATAAATTGTTGGGTTTTTAGGGTTATACGATTTTGTATTCACGAGAAGGTTGGCAATTAAAAATCGAATTCATCTTAAGCGTGAATATATAGTACCATTTTTGGAGGGCACCATAGAGCCCTCCTCCAATGCCAAGTAGCACATTTCTTCTATCAAGCTTCAGTAAAGAAGTTTCTCCATTTTTGGAGCCTGCAGTGTCATGATCACTGGAGTTTTGGTCACCTTTTGTGGAATTGCATGTAAATTTTGGGCCTGTTTTGCGATTTGGGTGAGCGGGTTTTGCAAGTGAGATGAAATGTGCTATAGAGGAGGAATAGGCAAGGTTGGAGGAGAGAGTTGGCATGGTAAGAGAAGCCATGACCTAGATATTGAGAAAGTTATGCCGTGTGTATTGTGCATGCTGTGCTGCCTCAACCTATGCTTTATATAGCGGACTTGAGCTTGGTAGCTTGATCAGATTAAGGTAAAAACCTATCATATCTAACTGGTTGATTGACGAAAACAAGCTTTAAGGTTTATAAATTGTTGGGTTTTTAGGGTTATACGATTTTGTATTCACGAGAAGGTTGGCAATTAAAAATCGAATTCATCTTAAGCGTGAATATATAGTACCATGGCTCCGTTTGGATTAGCTGTTTTTGGGGTTGTTTTTCAAAAACACCATTGTAGCATTTCGAATCTGAAAAACAAGTCCGTTTGGATTAGTGGTTTTTGGGGTTGTTTTTCAAAAACTATATGAAAAACTTTTACTGTAGATTTTTTTGGATTATTTTAGAGGTATTTTTGAAACATATTTTTGAGTATTTTTAGAAGATTATAATTTTTATATTTTTATATAAATATACATTTATGCATTTATAATACATTTATATTTACAAATGTATAAATGTATATTATTATAAATTATAAATTATAAATGTATAAATGTATAAATTATAATTTTTATATAAATATACATTTATGCATTTATAATACATTTATAAATAAATATATTTATATATTCATATAAAAATATATAAATGTATTATATTCTATATAATACATAATATAAATATATTTATAAATGTATAAGTGTATATTATTATAAATGTATAAATTATAAATGAATATTATAAATTATAAGTGTATATTATTATAAATGTATAAATTAATATATTATAAATATATATTAATATTATGTAGAAATGTATTTATATAATTAATATAAATGTATATATGCATTAATATTATGTATAAATGTAAAATTAATATTATGTATATTAATATAAATGTATAAATGTATTATATTATATATAATACATAATATAAATGTATATTTAAATGTATAAGTGTATGTTATTAAAAATGTATAAATTATAAATGAATATTATATAAATGTATAAATTAATATATTATAAATATGTTTTAATATTATGTTGAAATGTATTAATATAATTAATATAAATGTATACATGTATTAATATTATGTATAAATGTAAAATTAATATTATGTATATTAATATAAATGTATAAATGTACATTTATATAAATGTATAATATATTATATATTATATTATATATAATTTATATAACATATAATATTTATGTAAATATATTATAAATATATAAAAATATATTTTAAATAAAATAAAATATTTATGATATGTATATGTAAATATATAATATTAGAAATGTATAATATATATAATATACATTAATATTAATATAATTTATATATAATATACATAATTGAAATATACATATTAATATATATTATAAAACAAAATTGCATAAATATATTTATAAATTTATATATAAATAAATGTATTTATATAAATATATAATATTTATTTCAATTGACATAATATATATAATATTATACATAATTGAAATAAATATATTTATATTAATATAATATATATATAATATACATAATTGAATATACATATTAAAATACATAATTGAAATATACATATTAAAATATATAATTAAAATATATTAAAATATAATTGAAATATACATATAAAATACATAATTAAAATATACAAATTGAAATATACTTATTAAAATATACAAATTAAATATGCATAATTGAAATATATTTGGAGTTGTTTTTGATATATTGTTTGGATTGGTGTATTTGAAGTTGTTTTTGAAATACACATTTACTGTAGCATTTGGAATGTGAAAAACAATTTTTCAAAAACAGGCTCAAAAACACCAATCCAAACGTAGTTAATTTGCTCTTTTGTACGCTGGTTTTTGTGTCGCATCCAGGGCCCTATGTCTTGTTGCATTTTCATAATGGCTGTTTACATAGGGGACATGGACTGGTGGGATCCATACTATTGGGGAGGCATCAATTGGGTCGGTTGTTGACATTGAGGCAGAAACCTAGTACTAGTAGTAGCCTAGTACTGTATTTGGCTGGCGTCCTGGCAATACCCCCTACCTAGAGTATCCAAACAATGTCCAAAATGAAAGTGATTTCTACTCGGAATATATTGGAAATTAGTTAAATTTTTAGATTTAAATCTTAACAACAACATATAATCTACAAGTTGTCGTGCCATGTTATTTGATTTGTGATTTGATTTTTTAGTTTGATAGGACTTTAGCTTGTAATTTGACTTTTAGTCTAACAGGTTTTTATTTTTTGTAGGGCAACTTTTGTATAAACTTTCATCAATGTTAATGATACAGGTACACCATGAATAAAAGTACTTTTTTCTTAAATTTATCAGAATACCCTTCCACTCAAAATAGTTAGGGAAAAAATTATGATGTCACTATCTGTTATACATGTCATAATGAAATATTTATCAGAAATATTTAGATGTTAGATTAGAATAAAATTTGCACAAAATTGACTTCATTTCAAATATTTCAATCTTAATATTTGTTGAATTCCGCCATACATACATAAATACACACATATATGTATGTATACATATGTATAGACACACACACACACACATATATATTTCAAAATCTTGAATAATTAGCAACATAAATCATAAATTAAATGAAATCAGACATTCATATTCTCTATCTATCTATCCTACTTTTGCCGTTTATCTGAAATTCATGTAAATTCTTATGTACCCACTTTTTCATGAGAAAGGTGTCTAAAATCGGACCAGATCTTATACGTGAACAATTTCTAATTTTGCTACAAAAATTCCAGCGAATTATTCTTAACTAGATTGCTCCTTTGTACTCGATCTGTAGTGTAGCATTTAAGGCCCCATGTCTTCTTGTATTTCTCTTAATTATCTGCCCATTTCACTTTCTTTATCAAAGAATCTGAGCTTTTTCCTTTCGTGCGTAGAAGCTACCACCTCCCAGTTTGAGAATTACAGTTGGCTAAGGTTGAGGAAACTTCATCAGTCAGACCTTGAATACTATTAGCATAAAGATTTGTAGCAGTAGCATTGGATGATTCTATATTTGTAGCCTATGACCGCTTCAAATGCATGTGGAAGATGACTGTCAAGAACAGAATATTAGCTTTTGTTTTGAACCAACGTTGTTCAGTTACCGGAAAGACCTAAAAGTACAAAGAAAAAATGCACCCATGGTAGAAGCTCAGTTAATCAGGTCGGTGACCGAATTATATGCATGAAATCTTTTTGTTTCCTCTCTTCTCTTATTAACCATAGTATTTATTGATTCCAAGACTCTGCTAAAGTTTAAATCTTCTAGGGGCGGTGGGGGTTAAAAAAATATGCATCTTTCAAGCGCAATGGTTTTCAGCTTTACCGTTTGACATTTCAATGTGCAACTTGATTGGTACTAGAACATCAATCTTCCTGGCTACACTCCTATTTTATTTTTATTTTCTGCAAATATGACATTGGATTCTTTTTTTTTTTTTTTTTTTTTTAAACCTGGCATGGGATTCTTTTAAAGCCTGCTAGGGACTGTTATTAGGAGTTCCGTAAGATAACTATTACTACTTCTGGTTATTAATATCCTCTTTTGTCTAAAAAGTGAAGTATGATACTCTATCAAATCTATAGTAATTAATAGAACATTTGAACTGAATTAAATTATCTTAGTCTGATATTAAGTGCTCGAGAGCAATCACCTTTTTCTCCCTCTCTCTATCTTATTTTTTTTAATTATTTTTCACCAAGATGAGTTTTGACTAAAAGTGTCACTCTTTCCCGAGCATTTTGATGTACCGAAACTACATTCTTCTATGTAGGATTACACACAATTGAATGCTACAAATGGATAAAAAAGATGATCGTAATCTCGATAATGACTCTCTTTATCCTGCTCTTTCATTATTTTTGTTCTTTTGAACCTAAATTAAAATCCTAATCTTTGCTTGCCCCAATTCAATGAACCAACTGAAGATAATATCTATTCTCCCGAGTCTTGATTTTCACATTATTGCTGCAAATCCAACATTTCCATTAATTTTACGTTGTACGAAAGATGTTTTTGTAAGGTATGATGGCTGCCGATATAAAAGATGTTAGCATCAAAGGCCCACCGATTGGTTCTGGGACAAAAAAGTAGTTGATCATCAAGATAATTTCGAAAGGGATTCCAAAGACGAAGCACAGAAGCCTAATGGCAAGAAGAGTGGAGCATGTAACACTTTCCCGCACGTTTCTGCGGGAAGACCATTCTACTGTTACCAGTGGGCCATAGTTACGGTCATTGTTGGACTTTAAGATTCGGCTATTGTTGGGTTGTCCAAGCCCAACGAAACATTGCATCTAGAACGGCTCAAAATCAACCCTTAATACATATGCGACGAAGCCCGTGTTTTGGAAATTTCTGATGGTCCATTAGACCCAATAAGGCAATAACCACATATTATTCGCAAACAATGAGAAATTGTGTACTCAACGTCACTTTTCTTATATTAAGAATATACCATGTGATGTATGTGATACATGCAATAGAACTTAGCCCATTTTGATCCCTATTTTTTAAAGTTTTTATAGACAAATGTACCGTAATAATGTAATAGGTGTAAGGTAAAATGTGATTAGAAAATTTGTTTAGAGCAAACATAAAAACTTTTTTCTATAAAAACTTTTCTTTTGGCCACCGGAGAGGAACTTAAGCCCCTCCTTAAACTGTAGGTAGGGATTCAAATCTTACTTGCGGCAAAAAAAATTCAAGGGTGGTGCCAAAACACCCCTTTGGTCTAGTCAGTCAGGTCTGCCAGCCCCGAATACAAAGCCTCTTTAGGCCCCCCTCTCCCCTGTAGATTAGGATAAAATAAATTATACAATTGTTATTGTTGTCGAAAAAAAATATAAAAACTTTTTGAAAATAAAATGACAGTCCAAATAAAGTTACTTAACATTTTTTTTCTCTTGAACTATCGCGTACATTACCATACGCATCTATATGACATACAGAAGGGCTAAGCCTATAATAGATCGAAATTGTCAGAGTCCCGTATTCATTCTTCCTCTTTATTTTTCCTTCTAAAACATCCTCTGGCTTACCGAATCTGCTTGCCACTCCTCTGGAGTCTGCAACATCCCTACTCACTCTGTTTCAACTTTTTCAACTGATAATATTTCAAGCAAAATATGACCTAATGCATTAAACTCAAGTCGACTTCTCTGCTGCACCATGCTTTCATTTACATGTTGATCGTGCAAATCATACTCCCAAGTCCAGGTCCAACACACCATTACAAAAACATACTCCTATCGTTTGAGATTGGAATCTCAGGTCTTCAAGATTTATTTCACCAATGAATATTACATTGCTGAGACAGGATCCCATGCATGATGGAGAATGACATGTTTGGTAATATGAACGTATTGGAAGCCAACGTTCTAACTTGTTTCTTGGGTTTTATAGATGTTCACGAGTTGCGAGATGCATGGTTATTCGAAGTGTCTATCAAACTGGATTTAAAACTGATTTTCCAAACCAACTTCCAGACCTCGTAATTTAAATTGTCTATATATATATATATATATCAAGAGCAACAAATCAGATCACATGTACCAAGACTTTGTGGCGAATATACAACAATGAAGCTAATCAACTCTGGGAACCAGCTTTACATGCCCCCGTTTACTCGATCTCTTGGACATCACTTCTTATGAAGATTAAGGATCTCAATCTAAAAAGACTGATACTAGGATCATTCATTCATTCTAGAATCATTTTTCCTTTTTTCCTGCTTACACTGTATATCGAGAAAAAAAAAAAAAGAAGAGACAGGAGAAATGCTTCACGTGAGAAGCAGGCAGGAGGGTCACAAGAGACATAGGAACCGAGAACCAATCCTTAGGACTCTTTTAAGGCTATTGCCATGCAACACCTGGTGGACTTGATCTATTTCGAGCCTCAGCCAGTGAAACAGCCATAGCCAGCATCATCTGCTCCTCAAAAGTTTCAGGAACGATTGCACCTCCAACAGGATGAAATGTGCCATCAGATTCATCTTGTGATGGCAATGCTGCATGAGCTGCATCATCTTCTACATCATCAGAACCGGCATAGCTGGTTCCGACATCTGCAATCTCTGATCTATTATCTACCCACTCTCGATCACCTCTAGTCATTGCCATTTGAATATCAGGTGACACCTCGACCGAGTTCCCTGCAGCAGCAAAGTTCTCTGATTCATGCTGTGTGTTCTGATACCTGTCACATCCAGGATGCATGTTGTACGCAGACATGTTTGTTCCATAGCTATTGGAGGTCTCCCCACCCATTTGCTGGCGTTCAGCAAGGGCTGCAATTGCGCATGCAAGACCACCCGAAGGAGAGGAGGAAGATCCCGCAATTGGACCCATGATAGCCGTATTGCACTGTTCTTCGGCCGTGTATTGCTCTGATGGAACAGTCTCAACGTAGACTGGATTTCGCCGCCTGCCATTATCCTATCACGATAACAGTTTATGGAATCACATCTCAACTCAAAAGGCAAAGAGTAAGTACATGACAGCGACCATCCGATGCGAACAATCAGACGATGGTACAGCTATTACAATATTAACAAAGTAGCAAGCAGAGCTCAGCTAAAAATGGTTCGAAATAAATTAAATGCAAACCTGGAAAGAGAGACAAACCTTTGAATAGGAGAACTAGACTGAAATTTCTAGGATCATGATAAGCTAATAAAAAACAACTAATAACAATATATGAGTTTGACGTGACAGATTCAAGGTTTTAACCATCTTATCCTTATTAATACGTGTGATCTTTTTGGTAAGTATAGAAGCTTAATAAAGGAATAAATGGTAACTGAAAACATCCTAATGCAGTAATTGCTCAACTGCTCACAGAAGTACCTGAATGGAGAGCCATATGGCTTCCATGACCATGATGTCCTCAAGATCAAGGTCAAATTCATCCTCCCTGAGACTCAGAAATAAGGCAAAGTAATAAGGACAAGCCATATGTCAACCATCTGAAGAGAAACCTGAAAACTTTACAAATTAAGAATTGCAAATGCATATCAAATAAGGATGATTAAACTTCCATTTCCGCCATAGAGAGGGGTATTGAACATCAGGAATTTGTCTAAAATTCTCACAACAGATAAATGACCTCAAGCAACTAATGCTAAATAGATTTTACATCACCTAAAATCAACCGTATCTTGGAGGAGGGGGATAAGAAAGGAGGCAAACAAAATAGGAAAATTACTTAAAAATGACTAATCCATGAAAGGCAAAATAGTTTTCATGTATTTCTAGCAGAAAACATCACCAGGAAAGGCATGCCTTCAGGTTCAGGGAATCAAGAAACTGATCAGATAGACATTTAGATGCCTTTTAAAAAATGCCTAGCATTTACAGAGAAAGGTTAAAAAAAAAAAAAAGCAAAGAAAAGAAAGAAACCACGACTAAAAATAGAAGATGATGAAAAGGCCAGTAGGAAAACATAACAAATCCCTAGATTGCAATTTCTCCTAAAACTGACTGAAAACATACAGAAACACAATTTAGCATTGTCAAGTGTCTTAATGATTCTAAGACGTCTGATTCTGAAAAAAACTGCTTTTGGCTGGAAGTGAGACTAAACCACACATCATTATGCCACAAAGCTTAACAAGGATGTGGTTTTTCTATGTTGCTCAATCAGTGGAAGGACAAAACACTCCAACCTTTAGAATGAAACAAAATGAACGGGGTCAACAGTAAGTAATTTTCTATACCTATTCTGCCTTGAGCGTAGAGGTTGTCTGACAACTGGGGCAGCACAAGGCTCCTGAGAAGTGACAATTTCGTCACCTTCTTCTACACCAGAAGAAAAAGATGGGGCTGTGTACAAAATGAACATCAATTGAATGCAACAGAAACTGCCCAACCAACAACACCAATTTGCTAGTTGAATTAATTACCTGCTGTGGAGCAAAGCTCCGATTCAGTTGGCCCAGCTATACTGTTTGAAGAATTAAACTCTCTACGTTTCAGTTTCCTATCCTCTTCATCTTGGAGTTCCTGCTGCCTCATCCTTATTTTGGCCTCTATAACTCGCTGCTCTTCCTAAAGAGGTAAAAATAGTCACAATGAGAAATTCACTTTTGTAATGCACGCTGAACTCAAAAGAATATCAACTAAATAACAAGGGGCAGGAAATCTTACAATTTGCTCTAATCCTTTTTCCTCCTTTGTTTTGACACCTCGATACTCCACAGCGTAATTTGAAGTTTTACAAAAAGGACACCTGATAAAATTTAAGGAAGACAAGCAAGCTTACCCCTTCCCAAAATCCAAAGTTCCTCTTTCCCAGCCCATACCCCTTCCAGGCACTTGCAAAGAGGCAATCTTCCCAAAACTAAATGAGAAGAGATAAGATTTATTGATGGTAGAGAGATAGGGATCTGGTATGACTGAATCCCTTAAGGCCCCAGTTGGAAACAGCAGATAGAAGAAAATAGCAGAGAAAGTACAAAAGCACTTATGCCAATTCATTTTAACCAAAAAAAAAAAAACAACAACAACAATACCCCAAGAAATCAAGGATACTGTGTTGGGCGAGTCGAATTAGGAGTCTTCATTTGTAAGAAACATTCTGGTGCAAAGAAACAGGTTGGAAAATACACTTATTAATACTGCAGTAGTCAAGAACTCTCTTCATTAAACATTCATAGATTCCAAAGGATGCTATAAATACCTGTGCAGATGCCTTTCATGCAACATCTTGAACGATTGAGACTAGGATAGTACTGCAATTTTAAAGAGAATTCAAATCAGAGTGACAGCATTGATGTATTACAGTAGTCTATCCACATAATTCTAGTAGATCAACATACACTGCATATTATTATAACTATTCTGCAAACAAGACGGTTGGACCACTGTGCTGCCCACATCATTTTCCAGATTTGGATGAAGAGCGTAGTGTTGGTGGAAGGAAAGTAATTCAAAAGAAACTCCAACATACAACTATTACTTTGACAGCTCAAAAATTTCAATAAAAAGGGAAAAGAAAGAGAAGAAGATGATAGCAAATGCAATGTTACAAAGGTTTCACATAACAGCACTTCTTTTCTTATTGGTCTCCCATTTTTAGCCTATTAGATGCTGAGGAAGAAGGTAACAACTAACTTAATCAAAGAAGCGTTATATAAGTTGATTCTCAGAAACTCAAAATCAATCTTTATATGACCTCCAGCAGAATCTCACATAGTTTTAATTCCATTTACATTCAGTAGCTGTGTTGATTCTCTCCCTCAAGTTTCTTTCATCTATTTCTGATTTAGTCTGTATCAAGTTATGCAATCAATACTATGAGCCGCCAATAAACATATAGCAACGGTTACTGTGCATGACATGATAGAGCAAGCCTCACCTATATTCTGCACTCCCCCAATGGGCCAATACAACAATTCAAATTGCCAATCATGGTACAGTAAAAGTAAAAGCACAAACATCCCAAGAATCAAACTAGGAGAATCCTCAAAATTTA